AGCCTTTGAAAACTTCATCAATTTCTCTAAATTTAAAATCTTTATTGCTAATTTTGTCTTTAACAGCTTGAGTTAACAGTATTTCTCCGGCTTTTGCGGTATCTTCTCCCAGTTTACTGGCTAAATTAACTTCAGGTCCATATACATTCTCATTGCCAATTTTTAAAACTTTTCCATAACCTAAGCCAAGACAGAGTAGAACTTTGTCCTCATCTGCTTTCGCTTTATTGTACGGTGATAATTTTCGTTGCATTTCCAGAGCACAATTAACCGCCTTATCTACATTTCTAAATATAATCAACATACTATCACCTTCAACTTTGAGTAAAAGCCCATCATTGTCTTCTATGACAGGACTTAACAGTCTTTCTGACTCGTAGATTCTTTGCAGAAAATGTATAATGCCAGACTCAGCTACGGAGCTGGAAAAACCTGATAAATCAGTAAACATAATGCTCCATTCTTCACCAAAGAGATCCCAGATACTCTTATCTATTTTCTCTTTGTCCGAATCAGGTTTTAACCTTGTCTGAATAAGTTTATATAATCGAGGTTGCGTTCGAAACATTGATTAATAAATCAAGACTTGAAATATAATAAAAAAAATTATGTTTTACTCTCTTGAATTGTGAATCAGTTAAGTTAGATTTTATTAAAATGATCTTAGAATTAAACCCTTCTCTAACACAAGCAACGATTACTCAAAGTACGATAACGTTAAGTGAGATATCGATAGTCCAAGTAGTGCAACAGGAAAATAGATGTCAGATCGTCTATAAGCTCTTTAAGCTAAGCTTGATGAGGAAACGGAACTGGAGACACTTGTCGAAAGTTCATTTAATGATGATAGCTATCAAAATCTGGAACTGAGTTCACATCATACACTTGATAATATTGAAAAGGTACGACGAACTATGATTATTTGTTTATTATTGCTCAAGTTAGTTCTCGTCCTAAAGCATTTGATAACTTTTCTATTCCATCGAGATGTTTTTTTCGGAGTAATGTTTTTCAAATATTCTACCATTCTTATCTTCCGGATGCAAAGTTATCTATCGCTGTTGAGGAAAAAGTAGATGCTTGGAAAACTTCTATATTCTTTAGTCTCATCCGACTATAGCACAAAAACAGTTCTACATACCTACAACAACGTCAAGTGATCGGCTCGTGTTTTTTCTTCTTGTATTTTGTCGCAGCGTTGGATAACTCCGATAGATAGAAAACAAAGTTGTTGTTGTTTAGAAAAAACCAAGAAAAATTATCACATGTTTGAGGGTGGTTGTACAAAAAAAAGCTATAGGTAAAAACCTATCATTAAACGCAAATGTAACAGAACAGAAAATAAAGGATAGACAAAAGATAAATGTATTTTATTTTCCTACTGCCACTCTTCAAGGTTTTTTCACGAAGGTAAACGTTCGTGAAAAATATTTCAGATTGTCTAGTGCACATATTCTTTCTTCATTGTACGTCATAAAATGCATCGTATAATGTATCCCTATATACTGCAAGCTGTGCCTTCTACAATAAACAAGATTTCTTTTTTTAGCAGGTAATGAAGTGATGTTTAGTCTCAATGTCAAGTCTTATAGATAAGCCAATTCACTTTTTATATCACAGTCCAGTGAACATTTTGCATGAGTATATGTGACGTTTTAGTTTACTTAATATTTTTTTTCTTTTTTTTAGGAACGCCCTTATCTCAATTTCTTAGTATTATCACTTTTTATTGCGTAGTCGCTATTCGTATTAAACACTGAAGAAAATAAATACAAGCCATAATTATTATGGCTGTATTATTGTGAAAAGAATGGTTAAAAGATACTTTTATACCAAGCGTTTTACAACAACCTTATGAACTAGTTCGTACTAATAAGTAGTACGGCAGCCCATTTCTTCTGATTCCTAAAAGTGTTTTATTCTGATTTCCCCACTGTAAAGTTAACTATAGAAAACGAAGTATGACATTTTTAAAATTTAAAATAAGTAGTGAATTAATGAAATGTGAATACAACTGTTGAATTGCTCCCTGTCTTTTCAGTTAGAAGACAAAAGAAATTTTTTATTTTATTGTATTTCTCATTACTATTATTATTACGTTTCGCTTGAAACGATTTAATTAACTTAAAGTTTTAGACCCCTTGTACACCTTCTTCTGCATTCTGAGATACACCATTCGATAGCCCGTGAAAAGTTGTATCTACTGTCAAAGCTTCGTAATAGACCATAAACGAATGGTAAGGGGACCAAAGGGTCGGAATACTAGTGAATAAGTCGTTTTTCAGCAGTATCTGGAACTTTTTCACCAGGAAAGTTTCTGAAGTAAAACTGAATAGCACAGATGAATGCGGCGCGAAATTCTACGTCGAATGGCTTGCTTTTGTGAGTATTTGAAAACTTTTCCGGATAGAAACCAAATTTATACGCGATTTGAGGAGTTTGAAAAAAGTGACTAATTTTGAGTTTCTGGCCAAACCAAACACTTTCACGCGTTCTAACGTTTATATTCGTGATCAGCATGGTCGGTTGCATATATCTAGGTGCTTTTCATCGAAAACAAAAATGAAAAGTTTTTCGAAAACCCTGTGGGGGGACCCTTAGAGGATACTTGGAAGTATATGTCGTGAAGGCTTTTCGGCTTACTGACATCATCTGGCTGAGAAAATACTTAATTACTTAAAAAAATGTTGCTAAATTTTCGAGTACGGGACTGTTATAAAAAAGTTCCAAAATTAAATCCATTAAATTCTAAAACTTTTAAGCTAACCGATCTTGTAGTCCATGAAACTCTCTATCAGATAAGGCATTGCTCTTTTGTTGAGTCCTTATTTTGCAGTCCTTGTTTTTTTAGGTAATTAATTTTTTTCTCAACCAGATAATGCCAGTAAGCCGAGAAAACTTCAGGACATATACTTCGAAGTATCCTCTACAAACTGGGAACGTTGTACTATGTCCGAATGACAGCCCGTTCTCACTTCAAAGACAAACACATATTTCCTGATAAAAAACACGTTTTGAGCGAATTAAAAAAACGGATTGCGACGGGTTTTCGATCAGAAAAACGTATTTACCTAACCACCAACGCGTGACAAAACAAGCCGACTCGTTTAAACGCACGAACGGCGTTTTTTAAAATAAAGTTTGCGGTTCGACGCATTTTTTCGCTGAAATTTTTTTCGTGTTTAGTCCAATGAACTTAGCAAATTTTTTATTCGTCAGTCTCGCAGAGATGAGCAAGTGCGGTACTTTTCCACTCCCAGTTTACGTAAAAAAATCTATTGGTCCGTAGTTGGACTTGTGCATCTCAGCAGTCTCGTGTCTTCTGAAGTGTCATACTGAGGATTTTCATTGATACGTTTCAAGTAAAACTGTTGTATCGTATTAAGCTGATACATGCAAAAAGTGATAAAATCTGTTCATGAGCAAACAGATCTGTACTGCTCTATGAACATGAAACAATGCGAAGTAAAAAGATAAAAACAACGAGTTATTTACTTTTTTTAGACTGTTCAACTGAACGAATAAATCAAACAATAAAAACTTGCTCTAAATTTATATTTGATCGCCGTTCAGTGACAATAAGCCCAGCACAGCTAAACTGTCTTTCCATTGGCGGATCTAATCCAGTCCATACGAATCGCTGAAAGATACAGTCGAACACTCGCTTAAAGCCTGTTGCAGATAGGGGTGATGTAGATATAATACATCTTGTTATATTACGATGCTAATTTATCTTTCACGTATGTATTTAAATCTATTTTAGAAATTAAATCTTAGTGATGATGCCCTAGACCTTCGTTCTTATTTGATTAACTGATAAGAATTTTGCAGGAAACCTGTAAGTCTTTTATGTGCAACAGATAAGAATCTTATTCAACTCTTATACAAGATTACGCAGGAAAGTGAATGGACTTTTATAAGAAACTTATAGAATTCTTATCAGAGTGTCATAAGAATAACACAGGAATTTGATAAGATTCAGATAAGAATAACTAAAATATCTTATGCAATTCTTATTAGGTTCTTATCAGACTCTTATCTGATTCTTATCAGACTCTTATCTGATTCTTATCAGACTCTTATCTGATTCTTATCAGACTCTTATCTGATTCTTATCAGACTCTTATCTGATTCTTATCAGACTCTTATCTGATTCTTATCAGACTCTTATCTGATTCNCTTATCTGATTCTTATCAGACTCTTATCTGATTCTTATCAGACTCTTATCTGATTCTTATCAGACTCTTATCTGATTCTTATCAGACTCTTATCTGATTCCCCGAAAAACAGGTACTTATGGCTTCAACAACGGAAAGGTGGTTGTAATCGAAGTCGTATTTTTTTTTCTTGTTAATATACAAGTGTATAATAACAAGGATTTTAAAGTTTTTTTTATTTAAGTAAAGTACTTTTTGTAAACAAACACATCATGATCCAACAAAAAGAAAACAGAAGATTTGTAAATCGAATATAGAACTGCTATGAATGAACTATTCACAGCAGTTCCATATTCGATTTACAAATACTTATTTCCAACTGCTCTACCAACAAATTTCAAAATAGAAGATATCTTAACTAGTCAAACTGGAACTAGATTGACATTTTTCTCATCTATTCTACTACTGCGATAAGACGATTATGTTTTTTTGTTTTTGTTTGCACAATTGCAAAAAAATAGTTGATGGTCCTGCTCAAAACATCAAAATAATCACTGGGTCTTGAATAATCTGAGAATTTTAAATTTAGATCTTCTTCTGACAACGCACCAAAATAATAAAGACCGTGTGTACACCGTGTAAAATAAAGAACATCAACAAATGAACGACGATTATCAGACAGAGTCGATTGAACCCGATTAAAGCCTACTTGAACTGTGTAACTATTCGAACGATCTCGCCTCGAATATGATATTGAGTGGAAAAGGGTGTTTTTCATTCGAAGACGATGATAAAGTTTCATTATGCAAGTGCAGTTTTGATGATGCTTAACTTTTCTCACTATCTTGTCATCTGAAAATAGATCAAGGAGAGATAATTCTTGATCATCAGCAGTCGAGATAACCTTCTCGCTAACAAAAGAGATAAATCAGTCGAGATCGTGATAAAGTGAGAGTTGGTCCCCGAAATTCGTTGTACCATGTTTATTTCTAACAAAAAAACGTAAAAAATCTTCGAATGGAAAACAACTAGTGTAATTGACAGCTCCAAATTCTTTCGTTAGCCAACCAGAATGTGAGTGAACATGAAGAGACAAGTTTGATAATTTTTTGAGTGCATCATCATTCGATAAAATAAACAAAGAAAAAAGCTGATCAGCTATCTCTTCACAATTGTTGAAAGCACGACAATCTCCATGTGTAAGACGAACGCCACAAATAAATAAACATAATCGAGAAAATAGTTCTGTATCAATTAAACCGACTAAACAAGAAAGGAAAACATACAACAGCAACATCCTTGATTCGTTAGCCTTAAAGTAATTTGAATACTTTAAAGAACGAAGTTTTGGGGTAAAATCATGGAGTAAATTAACAGACAAAATCCGCGTGTCAAAAGTATCAAGAACAT